TACTCTTAAATATCTCCAGAGGTGGAGATTCCACAACCTCCCTAGGCAATTTATTCCAGTGTTTAACCACTCTGACAGTTAGGAACTTTTTTCCTAATGTCCAACCTAAACCTCCCTTGCTGCAGTTTAAGCCCACTGCTTCTCGTTCTATCCTTAGAGACTAAGGTGAACAAGTTTTCTCCCTCCTCCTTTATGACACCCTTTTAGATACCTGAAAACTGCTATCATGTCCCCTCTCAGTCTTCTCTTTTTCAAACTAAAACAAACCCAATTCTAGGATAGTAAAGTCTGCCAAGCTTGGTCTGTGTTTAGTTGCATTGTAGCACTGATCCCTGTATTTGGGGTTAGGAAGAAAATTTCCTTCCGTGCACATGCACACAAATTGTGATTATAGTGATGTCATTGTTACTTATTGTTCACCTGGGAGACTGGTTTGGAATATCTGTCACAACGTGGGCCCTGTTCCCCTGCTGGTCTCACTGGGATTTGTTTTAGATATATGAGCTAGTACTGGGATCAGATAGGGAATACTAGGTAGGCTGGATTGATGCTGGTGACATCACTGCTTGGGCATGGATGATATTATTGGGCACAGTGGGCACCAAAATGCCCAGTTTGCACCATAGAGAAGAGTGGGAAAGGAAGTGATTATGCCCTGATGGAGAGGGTACAGAGGTCTTCATTATTTAACAGGGAATTATGTTTTTCTGGGTAATTGTTTGGGTTAAATCAGCAGTTTTTTAGTCACAGATACCCAACAGTAATTAGTACTATATAACTACCACTGATAGATAAACAGGCTGAACTGTTGTGACCAGGCCTTTAAGTTTGAGGTGTTTATCTGGTGGCACGTGGGCAGTATGACAAGTCAATAAACCCGTACTATTTTATAGAAGTTGTGTGACCCACAGTAAGCATTGCTACATATATCATTTTTTCTCAACCTTAAAAGACTGGAAAAAAGGCAGAATAAGCCACTTTCTCACTATCTACAAATATAGAAAAAAAAAGAACACACACACACACACCCTCTAAAATTGTTCCCATGCTTTCAATCATTTAAAATTCTTCTTTAAAAAGAAAATCTGAAGTGCATTTGATGTAGCTTTTCAATACCTGATCTTGACCTGTCAAAAGAACATGAATCTAACACAAATGTGGTCTGACCTTTAGTTTAGTCATTGGAAAACAAAACTTAATCCACAGCAACCACGCCCCCATAAAGATTTTTCAGTAGAATAGAATAGTCTAATGTCTAATTGAATAGAATAGAAAAATAATGTTAGTTTTAAAATGGAAATACCGATCAGGTGGTTTTTTTTCTCCTTGGGGAAACAAGTTTGTGAGGAAAAGTGTACAATTTCTATGAGACAGAGAACATACAAAAAGTTGAAATAATTCAAAAACACCTGACATTTTGTATCAAAAGGCTGACAGAAGCTCATTTGATGTCCCTTCCCTCTCTTTTGAACTGGCAGTTTCCTTCCCATCTCCCATGGCTATCTCACAAGCAAAAGAGGAGACACCCTGCTCAGTTGGTGGAGTATACTTGTCAGCTGTAACACTGGCAATTTTTTTCTGTCTAAATACAGTGGAATAGCAAAACAATCATATCTATTTTTAAGTAA